GGGGGGTTAAAAAAAAGAAACTGACTGTATATTAAAGTGACACTAACGTAGGTATGTACATTTTTTATTAAGTCCATGCCATCACCTATGGATATCTGTAAATCTAACCCTTTGCCATGACTGTAAATACACTGGGTAAGCATCATTTTTAAATGTGAACAGTGAAGCTTCAAATGGATGACTGTGGACGTCTCATATACGGCCCCTGGGCCACACCCAGCTCCTGACACAATTATATCTGGCCTTTGAGATAAATTCATGTGTCATGTGTTGTTAATGGCTCGTTGGTATGTGAGATTTGAAACTTCAGCCTTGCTAAAAATCCATGCAGACAGGGGAGAGAATTTTTTTTTATGGGCACACCATGCAGCCGATCACATGCAAAGACAGACTGGGGTCATGCCAATATGTGGAAGAACGAAGGGGGGTAGACATTCTGAAGACACCGAGTGTAGTGGTACAGGCCAGGTAGACAGAGAGAAGGGGAATGCATATGTGTTGGGAAAAAGTGAAGAAATGTAAAAACGTAAAGTGAGCATCATCTGGCTGCAATTCAGTGACATTGCAGACTTCAAAGCTGGGTGCAGAATTTATCAAATTAGGAGCTGGCTATCTTTTTTTATTTTCAGTCATTTTCCAATGTGAAGAACAAAAGGTTTCAAACTTGTCCAAGCCTTAAATCTCATCTGTTCCCCCTAGTAGTAGTAAATGTATATAAAGGCTTTTATGAAAACACTGAATAAAAAATTGCTTCCTTGAAAAAGACTAAATGTACAGATCATTATTGAATATTACATAAAATAAACAATATAAAAACTATATACAAAGTGTCTTTGAATACCAGACGTCATGTTGTTGCTATCTGTGGTGTGAACGCTGAATGGTTAAGAGTAATTTCTTCTCCTGTCATTTTCAGATGTTATGAACAACTATTTTTTTGCCCCTTCCAAGTTTGTCAGAAAACTGAAGTAAACAACATTTCAACATGCTAGCTACAGGAAGTGTGTCTCTGCTACTCAGCTCATTTCTGTTCTGCTTCTGTTTCTATAACCCCTCACATGCTTTTTCACTGAAAAACTGCATAATTCCCTATCCTCAAGAGGAAAATAATACATCCATTTTATGCACAGACCATGACCTCACTGCTATTCCAGATGACATTCCCAGAAATGTAACATCACTGAATCTCTCCTCAAATAAGATTTCAAACATCACCTGCAAAGATTTAAGAGGTTTAGCTAAGCTCAAAATTTTAAACGCTGAAAGTAATGTGATTGTACACATTGATGATGGAGCTTTTGCAGACTTGGCAGAGTTAACGGTTCTAGTCTTGGCTAGAAATAACCTCTCAAAGGTGACAGAAAATATGTTTCGGGGTCTTTCACAATTAAAAGAATTATCTCTGAATAAAAACCTGATCTCATCCATCTCGCAGGCGGCTTTTCAGTCCCTGGTCAACATAATCTCAGTAGATCTGAGCTACAATTCTCTGTCTGAAATTGCAATTATTGCTCCAGTATTAACACTTCCACACTTACAAAATTTGTGGATTGGGGGAAATGATTTTACTTCTTTCCAGTCCTCCGACCTGCCTTTAAATAGCTCAAACATTAGGGAACTGGATATAATTTGGTGTAAACTCAGAAAATTCAGTATTACAAAAGACATGTTTCCTCATCTGCAGTTACTGGACTTCAGGAGATGTAATAGTAAGATTGAATGGAATGTAACAAACAAAACATTCTTGAGGAGCCTAACTTCCCTCTACTTGGATGGGAATAATGTTACTTTTGAGGCATACAGCAAGATGCTAAAGACTGCTGCCTCACTTAAACATCTTAAACTGTACTTCATGAAAATTCCGATAAAACGTGGTCTTATAGATATTGCCTGCCAGATTCCTTCTCTACACATTCTCGATATAGGGAGTAGCAAAATTACCCACGCAAATGATAGCCTGCTGCGGTCTTGCTCCCAACTTACTGAGCTTAGTTTACCTTTTAATAAGATGGAAACAATGTCTGATCATGCACTCCAATCAATGACACAGCTCAAGCACCTGGACCTGCAGAAGAACGTTTTATCCAAAGTGCCGCTTGCTCTCCGGGGACTCTCCAAATTGGAAGTTCTGGACCTGAGCTTCAATGTCATCAGCGAACTCAACAGCCCTGACTTTAATCATCTGAGGGCACTCAGACACCTCAATCTAAACCACAATCGCATTTCCCGAATCACACCGCATATTTTTCAAAATCTGCCTAATTTGAAAGTCCTGAAAATAGAAACGAATGGAATTTTTTCTTTTGAGCATAGCTTCAAAGGAAATTTAGAAAAACTAAAATATTTGTATTTGAACAACAACACTTTGGCAGATTTACAGGAAGGAGACTTCAAAAAACTCCATTCCCTCGATCACTTGGAATTACAATCAGACGACAGTTGCATTGATCATTCGGGAATATTTGAAGAACTTAAAAGTCTCCAAACTCTTAAAGTGTCATGTAGGGGTTACGTAAAAGAGTATTTTAGGGGACTAACAAACTTAAATACTCTGGTCTTCCATATTACCAAAAATCAGAACATACAACATCATGCACATCCTTTCTCATATTTAACCAAATTGAAGAAACTTATTATCTTTGATAAAAGGGAAACTCACGAGGATATTCCGTCAGACGTACTTAGTGGTCTGACATCTTTAGAGTACTTATGGATGGAGAAATTTTTTATGGGGTCATTGCACCCCGACACATTTAAATACACCCCCCAGCTGAAGTCTCTGAAGATATCTAATAGTGAGCTTTCAAATTTAACATCTGAAGTGTTCTGGCCGGTCCCAAACCTGACAATGCTCGACTTCTCTAACAACAAACTCAGATCTTTGGATTTCCTGGCTGAGGCTAAACTGTCGGCACTCACCTGGCTGAAACTCAGCGACAACACATTGACACTAGTCAGTCAGAATGTGATCAGCTCCCTCCCTGCTTTGACCTATCTGGATCTAGCTTCCAACCGCCTAACATGTGAATGCTCTAGCATTAAATTTAACGAGTGGATTCAAAACAGCAGCCAGACACAGATCGTTAATGCTCACCAGTACACTTGTGCATTTCCTGTGAGCCAACAGGGGAAAAAATTCCTGGACTTTGAAATCGACTCCTGTCGGATGCATGCTAATTTTCCCTGCTTCATTTCTAGCTTTTTTCTAGTTGTGCTTACTCTTCTTATATCCTTCATTCACCACTTCCTGAGGTGGCACCTCACCTATACCTACTACCTCTTCCTGGCCTTCCGCTATGATAATAAGAGGAGGAAGAAAGGTATTCCTCACAGCTACGATGCCTTTGTCTCCTACAATGTTCATGATGAAGCTTGGGTCTGTGGAGAGTTGCTTCCAGAGCTGGAGGGTCAACAGGGCTGGAAACTCTGTCTGCACCACAGAGACTTTGAACCAGGTATAGATGCTTTTCTGATGACTATGAAATGCTGGAAATGAGAAGCCGAAATGTTGATTCTGACTGTTTGAGTCAAAGTCCTGCTCGTTCTTCTGCATTGCTCACTTCCTCTTAATATCTTTGTCAGCAATTTAAACTTCTTTTTCCAGACTTGGTTTGGACCCATTTCTGTTTTTCATTTCTATATTTGTTAAGTGTTACGTTTTTATACCAAATAATGTGAAATCAGCACGACAGCCAGTGCAGAATTTTCAAAACCAGCAGACACAAATTAATCAGGACCAAGAATTATTCTTTTAATTTCACAAAGAATTCACCTGCCATTTCTATTGTGCATTTTTAAACAGGTAAGCCCATTGTAGAAAACATCACAGATGCCATCTATAACAGCAGGAAGACTATCTGTGTGATCAGCCAGCATTACCTGCAGAGTGAGTGGTGCTCCAGAGAAATCCAGATGGCCAGGTATTGTCAACATCTCTGTCCTTGCACCCGATGATGTCACTATGCTCCTATGCTTATTCAACTGTCTGTTCTGTTCTGTGTGTGGTGTCTTTAGCTACCGTCTGTTTGATGAACATAAGGATGTGTTGATCATGGTGTTTCTGGAGGACATACCAGCCAAGCAGCTGTCTCCATACTACCAAATTAGGAGTCTGGTGAAGAAGCACAGCTACCTGAGTTGGCCACAGGCTGTTCAGCACACTGGAGTCTTCTGGCAGAAAATACAACAAGCTCTCAAGAGAGAAGAAAACCCTGCTGAGCACAGGTGCCTCCTCACTGGCTACCAGAGAGTCATCCAGTGAGATTTACCCAGGTGGAAAAATCATAGATTGTATATATCAATCAATCAAGTCAAAATGCAGTGAAATTGGACCCCTTCCGACCATAGATACATAGCACAAACATCACATTGGAAGACAGGTTGGAGAGAGGTAGAATGGTAAGAACAACAATGAAAAATAACATCAGGGACAAAAGGAGGACAAACAAACTCTACTCAAACTGAGCTACTAACTGGTAGAGCAGTTTGAGGACAGTAAAAAAACACCTCAGCGCAGAAAAGCACATGAATCTTCACATCTTATACCATGTAAGAAGGATGCGACATGCAATGGGGGGAAGCCATCGCCAGCTTATTGCAAACAAACTGCATTCCAGTTTCACTTCAATTTCAATGGTTCTAGAAGGGAAAACAGCCCTGTGCTGCCTTGACCTGTGACCTCAGTGAACACTTTCTGGTCTGGTGGACTTTCCTGGAGTGAATGTGCTATTTACTTTTTCTTTTTCTTTTTTTGCCATTAAAGTATAAATAAAACTTTTTTTCATCATTGATATGCTTGAAAGAAATGCTATGATAATATGTGTTATAACATAGCAACATGGTAAAGCTGTAATAAAGGCAAAACAATGTTTTTACATGACAGTAGTTACATGTTTTATTTATTACATCATTTTCAGTGTTTCCATTAACGGCACCAAAAATGTTAAAAAAAAAAATCATAACCATAAATTCATAATGGTGTTGTTCTTTTCCCCCCTATAATTTATTGTGATAGGTTTAAGCACAGTACGAGATCCAAATGTTCTAGCCTAACTGCCCAGTAGCGACCATATTTTAGGTAAATTTTATTCTAATTCAAGTTACTTTCAAATCTGGGACTCTATGTCCCAGATTTGAAAGTAACTTGATAGACACCCACCTTTGACAATTAGTAGGTGTTGGGGATGATAGCCACGGTTTCAGGTCAAAGTATGTCCCTTCTGTCACTGTTTACAGATAAATATTTTAAAAAGATAATAAAAAAGCTGACGTTTTATCAGACAGTAGCCAACGGTTTTGAAAGAACTCTTGAGGAAATCTGTTCCCTCTTTATTTCTCCACAAAGAAGTCTTACCTGTGTTCTCAAACTTGATAGGCCAGTACAACTCAAACAAACAAAAAAGCTACTGAAAGGATTGTCTTTGCGTACAGATCCTGCGTATTCGTGTGTGTGTTAGTTTGTCACCTAAAAATTAAATACTAACAAAACAGGTTTTTGTGTGGGGCCTGCTGACAGCAGTCTCCAGCTACATCAGCGGTTCTCAGATGATGTGCTGAGGCCTTGGATTTTTTTTTTTTTTATATTTAACACAACATTTATAATCAAGTATATATTCATACTTTCCAGACACTCCTTTGCCAACACTGAATTTAAGAAAAGAAAATGAAAAAAAAAGTCTGAGAGTTTTTGGTTTGTAAGTCTGAAAACAATCACAAAGGGTCTGATTGTGTGAATAAAAAAAAGTATGTTTATTATTTCATTATTTCAGATACTTTTAAGTGCAACAGTGTAATTCATATACTCATATAAAAGGAAAGGAACGGCCAACTTTACTTCAGACTGAAGCCATAGTCGCACAGAAAAACAAGGCTGGGCTCGTGATGCATATTCTTTAATCTGTGATAAAATTGTGTTTTCAGTCACTAACTCTGCTCATATTCTTCCAAAAACACTGCACATACAATATTGGAACACATCGTAATAGCTCAGAGAAGTCCGAATCCAGATTACTAACTTTCAGACTAACTCATCCTGACTTGTCATTTCTGTTTCCATGAATTGACCGGTTGGATAGAGATTAGACCATTGTCCAGAAGAAGGGTGAATTGTTGGTCCAATACATCCATTAATAGACACTTTCAACTATGGAATTAAAAGTAATGGACATGGTCGTTGTTTGTGCACTGCAACTTGGAAACAAAGCCAGAGATTTCTTGCTCCCCTCACCTGTGACTCTCTACTCATACTGGGCTTCAACGATTCTGGAAATCTGTTTTCTTAAGCTGTAGTTGTAAAGATGCAACCTTGGCTCTGACATGACTGGAGAAAAATGAACTCACAGAAACAGGAAGGATTTGGAAGTACCTTCATTCTATGATACAAAAGAAAGAGGAAACTGGCTGGAAATGTCCATTTTTAATGGTTTCGCTTGCTATTGTGTTAAATATTGCAAGAAAATGGAAATTAAAAAAAAAAACAGCTCTAGAGGATGGAAGCATTAATCTCTTTGTAAGTTACTGGTGCAGCCCTCCAGTTAATATGTTCATCTCTTTAAAATATGCTACAGAGCCAGTCCAATACATCGTATCCCAGCTGCTCTGATCATGTTCTGGATGTGTTCAAGGTAGTGAGCTTGTACAAAGGCATGTATTGTCTAAGTACAAGTTCTGAATTAAAAAACCACCTTCACTTCTTAAAGCTATGAGATGTTACAATTTCAAAGTTGTAATTGTTCCACTTTAGTTATTACCAGGTATTTTAGTCTCTCCCCTTCAGATCTATTGAAGGTCTATCCTTCAAGCTCGGGTCCACTACCAGACGCCTGGGAGCTTGAGGGTCCGGTGCAGTATCTCAGCTGTTCCTAAGACTTCGCTCTTCTAAACAGAGATCTCGGATGCTGTTCCTGGGATCTACTGGAGTCACTCGCCTAGCTTGGGAGTCACTGCACCTAGTTGTCCGATTACCACTGGGACAGGAGTTGGCAACCCGCGGCTTTTTCATCCTTATACTGCAGCTCCGTGTGGCTTGGGAAAATAAATTATAAGTATTTAATTGAAGTATATTTTATTTGTGTAGGTGCTTTTTTAAAATTGTAGATCTAAATTGGAAGATTGTGATCTTGAAATATTAAAATAAAATAACATTTTATTTTTTGTCAGTCAAAATAAGCGTCACACTTCACACCAGAAGGCTGCGCTCATTCAGAATCACAAATGGAGTGGTATCGAGAACCTTCCAAGACCTACAATATATGTATGTCATTTGTCGCCTTCTTTATTAGCAGGTAAAATGTCATCAGTACCTTTTTTTACTCGCACAATGTGATGCTTAATGGGGCACATGTGGAGTAAAGGTCAAACTGATATAAACTAAATGACAACAAAAGAAAAAATTATACACACACACACACACACACACACACATATATATACGTATTTCACTTGTGTGTGTAGGTGGCGGAAACCATGGCCACATTCGTGCAGAGATGAATTTGCTGAAGCCAGAAGAGAAATCAGGAGGTAAAAACTGAAAGCACAACACCATCTACTGGCTAACATGAAGCAAATAATAAAAGGAGTGCTGGCTTTTCATCTATGTAAAGGCTTAATTTCAGGACAGTTGTGCTGCCTTGATGTCATACAATCATTGGTGCTTTTTTGCCATTTTAACTTATTTAAAATGAGAAAAAAAAGTTTTGTTTCCTTTGCATCCTTTCATACTGAGTAACACACTTAACATCAAGTAGTGAATTAGTAAAGGTGAACACAAGTTATAGTAAAATGCTATCCAATGACATCCAAAATTCTTAATGTTTACCTTGAATAGATTTCAGTTCTTTTCTTCTTGAAGAGGTTTCCTTACAGAGCAGCAATAAGGAATGCCTGATTCTGTATTACCTGAAGACCAATGGAAACCAACCAGCTGCCATGCTGAGTCTTGAGGAAAGCTGTGACTAGAGTTTCTTTGTAGTTCTGTACGGTTTCTGTTGGGTCTGTTTTTCCACAAACCCCACTAATTCTAGAGACTTATTCATCATGAAAAAACAAGACAGTCGATCGATCAAACACTTGCGCAAGGGAGGCCTCGTCTGTGTCCACCACGAAAATGACCCCCAGATCTGACCTCCTCCTGCTGCCTTTTATTGAGAGACAGTTCACACAAAACACGT